AATTGCAGCTTCACTCAATCATTCTTTTTCTTAGGGTTTTGAGGAGGGCTTGCAATTGAGGGTCATCTACAGATCATTTAGTGATGATCCGGTAGAGTAGAGGCCGTTTTACATGCAACAGGATCTTAATTTTTTTTGCCAACATTCAACATTTACCATTCAATTGATGTCAGCAGAACTCCTCCCAGGTGACCAACAATTCACCCATACTATAAATTCACACCTATGGTTAATTTGCTGGGCTTAGAACCAATAGTTTGCTTGCTGTAAGGCAAAGGCACTAACCACCCAGAGTCATTGAATTTTTCACCTGAGGTTTAAAGTTATCCAGCATGATGATGTCTGCCCCTGCAGCTGCTGCTTCTTCAGCCTCTCCTGCAGAGCGACACTCCACCTCTATCTTACTGCTGAAGCCACACACTGACCTGGCAGCTTTCACTGCCTACGGGTAAGAGGAAGAGGAAGGATTTAATCCCTATTTTTCTTCATATTTCTTTAAATTAAATCGTAAAAACCACCCGAATGATTTAACAGCTCCACACCCCAGTGATGCTTCCTGATGCCCACACATGATTGTCCTTCAGCATCACCATCCCGCTCAGGTCCTGCCTATGCATGGAAACGCCTCCCACCAGCATTGCGTACTTCTCTGGCAGACGGAAACCTGGTGTGGTCTTACGCGTTCCAGCCACTTCTCCGTGCCAGCCTTTGGCTACTGCCATGGCCTGGAGATGAGAGCAGCGCGTAGCAATTCCTGAGGTTCGAGCTAAGCAGTTAAGGGCCGGCCTCTCCCCAAGAAGAAGGCATCTGGCTGGGCCCGTGACCACGGCTGTCACCGTCACGTCACCTGGACCTGTTCAGGTGAGAGAAAAAAGGGTTGGGTTAAAAGCCAGTTTTACTATTCTAAGACAAACGTGTTACATCTTCTTGGTATTTTTTCCTTACTATATAGGTAACATCTGCAAAAAGCACACATGTTTCTAAGCGTTGTTCCGAGATAAGATTTGATTAAACAATATTGATCCGACAGCAACAGAGGTAAAATGGACTGTTTAAATGTAAAAAGTAATAAAAAAGTCCCCAGTGTAAGTAATAACACAAATATAGTTCAAAATATAATACAAATATTAAAATATAAATGTAGCAATACTTCTTCTTTTTCGTTCTGCTTTGTCCCTTTTTCAGGGGTTGCCACAGC